GCGAAGGCCCTCGAGGAATGTAAACGGTCAGCCTCAAAAATGAGCTGAGAGTAATGACATCCTGCCCGACTTGAATTGTCACAGCATCTCGTCAGTCCACAGAGAGCATCAAATTAGGAACTAGGAAGGGCATCGTCAACTACCCCCGGTTATCGTTGCGAGAAGACCTTCCTTTCCTGGGTTCTCACGTTATTCATATGCTATTATGATGAGGTGGGCTCCGAGTAATTCGTATCGTCTCCCCCCTCCCTAACCTCGCCAATGTCTATCAAGTGCTACTTTCAAACCTCCCACCTCTCCATCGGCTCCGAGGCTCCGAGTCACCCATGGGCAACAGAGTCTACCTCATATTGTCCCCTACAGTTGATACCACAGTATAGTGCTCATCTGATGGGACTCGATCGAGGATAGGTGGGGTGTGATGATGACCATCCAGTCCTAGATGTGATTATCTAGCACGCCCCAAGGTAGCGGCACTTTCTTCACTCCTACCTCCGATGTCGAGCGTGAGAATACTAGCAGGGCCGCTCTTGCACTATATAACGGCAAAAAGCCTCTGTAGACACCCAAACGAAACCGGTGGGGAATTTTCCAGCTAATCGCGGTCTAGAGGGGTCCTCGACAATGCTGCGTTATTGTTATGATAACAATGTTATTCGTACCGGTAGTTCAGATGCACTGCTGTACACAAGCCGGGCATGGGCACACGGAAACTGGAATCTTCTGCACATGCAGTATCAGAGCTTCTTACCAAAATTGACGATCTCTCTCTCCGCCTCCTCCCTTGCAGCCATAACCCCTTCAAACTCCTCACGGTTGAGTGTAAGGATCGGCTTATGCCTGTCACCTTGTGTCACCATAAGGACCGTTGATCGCTTCCTGATGCATACCCCTTAGTCGGCCCATGAACATGAGGAGTAGCTCTGATACTCACCTCCCACACGTATGCCGTGAGTTGTAGACAAACAGTTTCCTATTCAATTCAGAAGGCAACTGCAAATCCCCGGCTCTATTTCCCGGTGGCCAATGCTCTTCGGGATCTACCCAAGAAATTTCCGCGAGCATTATCAAGCTTCTAGGGTTATCACCTTCCCCTCGTAGCCTTTCAGTGTTCTCCAGAGGTTTCGCCTTCTTGAATATAAAAGTTCGCTTTTTCTCGAAACAAAACGATCGCCGAACCGAGATCGCCCAGTACGTAGGAGTACAAACTTTGGGAAGGAGGGCACCCCTGACACGTCGTATGAGTAAGGCCATAGAGTAAAAGGGAACCTAAGGACCCCAGAGGGCGGGTGGGCACCTTTCCCACAACTGAGCAATACTCTCTTCGATCATGGATAGGAAAGAAGTGGAATAAGCTACAGCCAGCCAGGTATGCATGGTACATGCTTTCACCCACACCATCACCGTCGAAGTAGCCTGCTCATAGCGACATCTAAAGAATCTTGTATGAGGGCACACTCCTCTATCCTAGGAGACTGCCGCCAAGGCTCTACGTCTGGTCCGAGCCCTATTCCGTCACTTTGAACGCTGCTTCCTATTGAAGATCTCCTAAGAGCCTGTTCTTGTGGTCCAGCGTGACCCCTACAATTACGGTCCCATTAACCTAGCCTCGACTACAGCTCCCTACCTTGGCCAATCAAGGAGTGAGTCCTCACTCATTCTGCTCTCCTCTACCCCACCACCACTAGCTAGCTCTTCACGAGGCGTCCCCTCAGAAGAAGTGACCAACGGCAATCCCTGAAGGCTCGTCTCGGCCCGATGTGTCCGCAGTCGTTGCCATAGAGGAAGGTTATCGGCTTCCTTTAGTGGAGATTCTAATAACTGCTCATTCCCTATCATCTCGTCGGTTGCCACATCACTTATGTCACCATCAGCACCTGCGACCACCTCAGGCGACGTACGGCCGCCCATACACGTACCTATTGGCCGGGGCCCCACACTGAATTTACATCGCCATTGATTCGGGCTCCTCCTCTCCAGATCCCCGAGGATCCTTTCAACAACTGGTCTGAGTTTCACTCTCGTCCTGATGCCCTTCACCGAGAGCGACTACGAGAATCACAACCAGGTCGATAGAGAGGCCCCTTCCCTACCTGTGGTTTTATAACACTTCCGCTATAGTAGCTAGAGGGTTCAGAGTCCGAGCCCGATGACCATGCCGCATCTAGGTCCGACCGCTGGGCATACGAGTTACTGCCAATAGCACGTCCTGATAATCACTCAGCACAAGCCTTCACCTATGGGGAGTCCTCCAGCCCAACGATCTCGTGCCGGGCCCCGTGGGGATGTTCATCACACGATGTGGTCTGTACTTGTTGGGTACAGGAGGCAGGCTCAGAGTACTATACTTGCCACATGATGGTGCTTGGGCCGACGACGAATACGATGCTGGAGACACCAACGAGCTGAGACTCTAATGGTAGATTATTACCCTCCCCCCTTTGGAAACAGCAATTACTGGCAAAGACTCCTTGCCAGCCGAGAGTGATGACTGCCTCTGCCTACTGTTGGCAGTCATCTTGCCAAGCATTCGCTCCAAAGCACGATTCTTCGATTGGAAACCACGATTTTCAGCTCGCAGCCTCGCCACCTCGGCTCGCATGAGGTCGAGGGTCCTGACTGGTTCTTGTGGATCAGTACACCTCTAGAATTTGGACAGCGTCCCGAGTACACATATTCGTCACTCGCCCCAATGATCGATTATTATAATACACTTTAAAACTGTTCTTATGTTTACAACACGTAATATTCCAGGTTTCAGATTCCTATTCGTCGAGTTTGCGGTATTACAAGATTTTCTCGTATTAGACTGTCAAAATCGAACGCCGACTCACTTCTGTCTTTCCGAGTTGAGCTCCGCATCCGCAGGAGTATTCGCCGCTCTCAATCCATACATCAACCGCAATGGTACATTTGATATACTCATCGCCTTCAGTGCATATTGGAGCACGTGCACCGTCTCTGCGTGGTTCTTCTGGGCCTACTACAAACAATCTCGAAAGACGGGGCAACCCCATAGACGCCAAATGTTACATACCGGGCTCACTGTACATATGATCATCGCAAGACCCCTGCCACCAAGGGAGTCCGCCAATATTTGTGTTAGTTTGCTGTCCCTATACGGTACATGAATCCCAGCTGCTGCGGCAATGGGATCCGATGCAGGCCTGTCTCGACTAATTGACGAACCCTCCAACACTGAGATCACCAGCCTCACAAGCTCTCTCTACTGGGAGCTCAACACTCTCACACTGTGCTTGTTGAGCCAGAGTGTTGATGACCTTCCCCAGCGCGAGGAGGCTCTTATTAATCGATTGCGTTTCCTTTCTATGCTGAGTCTCTGTTCCTGACCATCTTACAGTTCGCATCAGCACTAGAGTTGACTTCCCACGTGACTCTTTGAGCCTCTCTGATCCAGCAAGATCGGCAAAAGTGAGCTTCCCACCGTTAGACAAGAATATTGAAAATATACAATGCGATCTGTAACACGCAATCGGTTGGTTGGTATAGAGTCGTTTATGTCCGATAATACCTTGAGCTGTATCTGTTCACTTCATGACCATACACCTGCCTATTCGCCGTCCCATCAGCTAAAAGTTTCACTATGTCTGTAGCACTCTCACATTCTACTTTCCGCAGGCCCGACACATAGAAAGAGTTCCGCTCAGTACCTAATTCCGTATGAACTACTCCACGACCAGCCCGCTTCCAACGTCCTCGACTAGGTCAGACCTTCCCAGAGGTCCTACATCGAACACGGAGCTGGTTTGGATGGCGATGCGATGCTGATCGGTTATCCTTAGTGCCACCAATAGGGGATACAAGAAGATCATTGAGCCTCTCATTATACAATTCCAGAAAAGAGGCACGGACTGTTACATCACGACCTGTGAGATATCATGTCACGTAGCGACCGTCCCTCTGTTTATCACCAAGCTCTTTGATCAGCCGAAAGAGATCCCTGGCACAGTGGTGTATAAGCCCTCCCATATCACCACTAGCACACTGAATGCACATCTATTCGATCAACATAGTCCTACCTCGAGGGATCGCCTATCATGGTGTACGTCTTCCCACTACCAGTCTGACCATAGGCCATTACAGCCGCCTTGAAGCCCTCTAGTACTGCATGCAGCATATCACGGACTCCACACCTCTCGAACACCTAACACCACATAGTACAACTCCTCCCTTGGGGGATATCTACCTCTTTCTGTGTCGTATCCGGTCCGAGGCAAGAATGGAATCGTATCAATTCCGGGGGGTAGGTCCCATCCATGCAGGGCTGCCGAACCGCCAGCTGGGTATCCACCCTACACTAGCCACTACGAATACGTTCAAATGTAGTACTACTCATTTTCGCCGTCTCCAGTTCCAGTAACCACTTCCACACAGGGCAAGCATCCGGCTCCGAGTTCAGCTGGGAGTAGAGGCCTCACTCGCACGCATGTACGGACAGCTACCACTCCTATGGACATCCAACCATCAAAGTTGGGAACCGAATCTAATCGACTCTCGATGTATATGAGCACATCACAACGCAAGACAATACAGCTACAGGAAATAAGAGGATGCATGTTCACAGGAGATCGAGTAGATCTTCCTCACCGTTAACTGCACTTTTACTACCACCGATAGCTTCCTCCAAATCATCTTCGAGATCCTTAAGGGCACCTCTGTAGGACCTACGAGAATAAACCAACTCTGCATAGCTACCAGAACTGTTCTATCTCCATCACTCAGTTGCCACAGCAGCTGTGATAGTCTCCGGTTCCTCATGCACTTCATCATCAGCTGCCTCGACGTTATCCATAGGAGTAGCATCATCAACATCCTCGAACAACCTCAGAGTGAACCTCTGTCCTTCCCCTCCCTCTGATGGTGGCGCAATAAGATTGGCCAATACCGAAAGCTCAGTCTCAGCCACTTTCGAGACAACCTAAGACCTCCTAACTGCCGACCAACCACATACTGTTACCTACATTCGACTGAGGGACGAGCGCCCGAGTTCGCTGCTGGACGACCCTCTCCTTATCCCTGTAGCGAACAATCGATCAACTCACTACGTGAGGGGTCCGTACTGCGCTTCTTTTCTCAGAAGAACATCGTTTTTCGCTGAATAGGTGTTGACGCCAAGCCGAAGCCATTCTCTATCAACATCCCATTGGACTCGATCCACAGCTAGTGAGGATCTAATTCCAATGACAAGAGACATGCTCGCCAGTGCCCGCATATATGTTCGCTTTCCCCAGCTGAGCTTAAGAGTTCCCTCACTGAATATAGACGTTTATATACTCAAAAGTAAGTGTACAGGCAGCGATAAGAATTTCCCAGAATTTCCTCAGAATTTGTCCCCACACATGCAGTTCACCGTGCGCATATTTTCTCATACTGCTGCTAGCCTCCCGCCCACGCAACTAACACCTCCAATTCTCATTTCCGCTGATATCCAATATATCTTCCCCTCACTACTCTACCATCGTGATAC